CCGCGACGAGGTTGCGCTCGGGCAGCGCGGCGGCGCACAGCAGCGGGTGCATCGTGGCGAGGCGCGCGACGGGCCGCTGCGTGGTGAGGTCAACGGTTCGCACCGTGTGGTCCTCGGACGCCGTGTACGCGACTGTCGCGTCGTGGGGGTGGAAGAGGGCCGCGGTGACGGGCGCGTCGTGCGCGGGGATCAGCGCCAGCGGGCCGCGCTGCGCCGTCGTCGCCGCGCCGGCGAGCTTGGCCCGTTTCGTTGTGTGCGCCGACGGCAGGCTCTCGGGGTCGGCCTGCGGCGCGGTACGCTTCGACGTCGACCAGAGGCCGATTTGGCCGTCGGACGAGGCCGTCAGGAGGCGGCGCGTGGCCAGGTTCGCATCGATGGCGAGGATGGCCTTGTCGTGGCCCCAGAGCTCCATGTTGGGCTTGAGCGAGCCAGAGAAGCCGTCGTCCGACTCGGCGTAGTCCCATACGACGACCTTGCGGTCCAAGCCCGCCGAGACGACCTGCTTGCCCGACAGCCACCGGACGGCGTTGAGGCGCAGCGAGTGGCCGCCGCCCGCGCCGGCGGCCGACGTGGCGACGACCGCGCCCTGCGGGTTCCATATCCGTACTAGTCCGTCGTAGGAAGCGCTCGCAATACGCTCTCTGACGGCGCCGCCGCCGTCGGCGAGACGGCCGGCCGGAGACGTGGCAGACAGGCAGTCGACGGCGCCGACCCAGTCGTCGTGCTCGAAGCTGGCCTCGTACGAGGGCGGCAGCAGACTGCGGACGTACTGAAGCGTGAGCGTGCTCTCGGAAGAGAGGCCCTCGCTAGAGAGGTACTCCTCAATCGAGGTTGTGAGAAAGGTGCCGTTGGCGAGAAAGTCGAGCGGGATCGGGGACGAGGTGCCGAGCATAGACTCGGAGTTGAGAATTCGAGAGAGGCCATATCGCTTAATGTCTATATGCTGGTCAGTCTACCACTTGACACCTTAAGAAGATCAAATCATTTAGAGCCACACGGACCGGCTGGTACGAGCAATTGTCTCTTGGACTCGGGAAGCTCCAAGTCGGCCTCGTTGGTGGTGAAGATCACCTTGACCTGAGCGGTCGAGGAGTCCATTTTGGCGGGCGTAAATGTAAGGTGCAATCAGTACTCTTCTATTCGTCTGTATATTCCGCGATATTGTGGACAAATTGTTAAGGGACAAGGCCAGAGTTGGGAGTGTCACCGAAGGATCTGATCTTCAAAAATTGGCACTTCAAAAAAATTTGGACGCCAGCAGTCAGCCTTGCGCCTGGGCTCCACAGCGGGGAGCTGTTGGTGGGAAGCCGGGCCAATGGTAGCTGGCGTATGCGCGAGGCTGAGATTGTTTGCGAGACTCATCTACAATAAATGCGTTCTTTCAAAAAAGCTCGTGGAAATATTTCGAGCAAAATGTGAGATTCCTTGATACTGATACTTCTAATACAATGCAATATGTTCCTGTAGCTCCACTTAAATGCGACCTTTTGTCTTACGCTTATCATCCCGCCTCACTCAAGCTTATTATACCGCTCCCGCGCTCTGTCTTGTACAGAGTGAACATACTCGGCATATCCTCCTCGCGTCTGCCGGCCTGCACGTTCAGCTGCGTCACCCAAGTTACTTCCTTCGGCACCGAGACCAACACCTTCTTGGTATGCATTCGTTTCAATGACCTCGGTCCGGCCCTCGCCATTGGCACCGAGCCCTGCGCCAGCGGTCCAGCCCATTTTTGCCAGCAAATTGGCACCCTTGGATGCTGCAGGACCCGCACTGACAGCAGGGGTAGAAGCAGCGTTCTTCGCTTTTGCTGGCTTAGTCTGAGGTGCGGGCTTCTTTGGTTGCCTGTGCGCCTCGCGTCGTTCTTTGGCACGGTCACGATACTGGCTATCTGCACCGGCCGAGTCGTCGCCTGCGCTACCTGAGTCTAATGCGGCGGTAGGCTTGCCCTGTTTTTGTAGCCGCTTATCGCGGATAGCGAGACGGGGCAGGGCGGCCTTGACTCGCTCTGGGTCTTCCATGGCCGTCTTGTGATTTCGTGACCGCTCATGGATGTTGACTTCGTCAGTAGACTTGTATTTGCGCATACAGATAAGACACATCAGCCGGTCTCGATCCATGTAAGACTCTGGGGCCGCTTCTGTATCCTCATCTGGCTTATTTGGCAAACGCGCCGCGGCATCTGTCTCGACATCAGCAGGCTGTGAATCGGACTGACCAATTAGCTTGGAAGCGGAGGAAAGCGATATTTTGATGGTTGCGTTGGCCGATGAGAGCTTCGCCGGTTGAGACCTGGAACCGTCCGGATCCGCAGCTGAGCCCTCTTGAGACGTGTCCTGGCCACGAAGTTCATCATGCTTGCGCTGCCACATGGCCATTTTCCCAGCCATGGCGAGAGGCTTTTTCGCAGCATTGCCGAGATTGCCGTCTGCCTTGCGCTTCTTTGCCCGTTTCGCCTCCTCTTGATCTTCAGCGGCCGTCTTTTCTTGGATGCTGGCCGGAGGCTCAGGCGCTACCATCAGCTGACTCGGGTAAACATGTTCATCTCTGTACCGCACCCGTATTGATGGATTGAAGAGCGGGTGGAATGTCATGTTTTCTGTCGCAGGAGTCGGTTCTGTATCATCTTGCAAGAAGACACCCAGATGGATCGTGGAGACGTTCACCGCACAGCCGCCTATACTAAAGTTTCGAGCCATGGTGACTTTCTTGACGGCCGCAGCGGCGTCTTCAACAGTCCAAAATTCAGCAAATCCATATTTAAAGGTTTCGTTTGTTTGTGAGTCGCGCATGAGAAAGACTCTATGCAGTGAGCCCTGCGAAGCGCCGTAGCCTTGCCCTGTGCTGGTGGGAGCAGTTGATTTGAGCTTGGGAGCATCGCCACTTGTTTTGATGGGGTCTGCTTTTTCAAGCTCCAGTCGCTTACATTCCCGAGCGAGCATTTCCTCGTCGACGAATGACGGAAGGGGAAATACGACAAGAATCTGAGACGGAGAGTCTGCGGCATCCGCGGCGCCGGTGAGGCTTTGTTCCCAGTGGACACCAGAAGGGTAGCATCCACAGCCTCGACAGACGCTTCTAGTGGAAAAGTTTGAAGCCTCGCACTATTTCAGTTAGCAAGTTCTCTTGCAAAGCTAGATCTCCTGCAGATTGGATTCATTCTCGACATACCTGAGGGCATATCCAGTCTGCATTAGGAGCTCGTGACTCGGCATCATCTCTGGATCGCGCATAGTGCAAGTATGCATCAAACTGACCATCTGGTACCTCATCAGTCGAGTGTCTTAGAGTAATCAAAATCTTTGGGTAGTGCTCCTGAACAAAGTCGACGGCACGATCGATATGATCAAACTGAATAAAGGCACGCCGATGGCCTGGATTAATTAGTTGCTGGCGTATGGATCAACAGTCCATCAAGTACGTACCTTTGGCCGAAGGTATGCGGATGTCAAATGTGGGACTCTCTGAAGCGATTGAATTGTTCAAGAGGCTCTCGCGAAGCTAAGGAGCTCTGTATTAGTATTCCAGTAATATGGCGAGTTTAGCTGGATGGCATCGCGCCCAGTCCAAAAGGCGACCGTTTAGGCAGTCCTGGAGAAATCCTTTGGGGGCCATCTTGGTGTCGTGTTTTCCGTGTATGACGAACCTCGTTTTGTGTGATGCTGCGTGGAAGCCCCTCTAAAATCACAGTATCCGAAGGCCGGCCCGCGTCGCGACCAGGACTCCGCGAGCGGCTTCGATACCTTGCCCCGGAATGCGAGCGATGCCGCGACTCGTCTGTCAAGTCTGATTTGCCGCAGTTTGTGGCACCTCTCTCATCGTCGTAGAGACTGGAGCGAGTATCGTCGCGTGGTCCGTCATCGTACATGTTTTCATAGTCGTGCTGCGCATATTCCCGCTCCCTGCGATCGCGGTCATGACGGCCAGTTTCGTTGCCATGGCGGCCGTTGTGGCGCTGGTATTCCTTATACTGTGTATCGTGCTGCATATCTCTCTGCTGCCAACCAGGTTTCCTGTGCAAATCTTGTCTGGGAGGAGATCTGGAAGAATCTTGCCGTCCCGTAGGGAAGTTAGCCCAGAATGCCCGAAATAGCTGTGCGCCTGATACTGCGGTATGTCGTCGAAAGAGGTAGAAGCGGTCGAAACAACAGCGAAGCCCCGGAAAGAGGTTCAGGTTAGGTGTTTACCCTGCCGCGGTCGCGAGTAATCGTCTCGTCTGTCTTTGTTGTGCCGGTCGGATGCTCGATCTGTATCCCGGTCCTCTATGGAGCGCGGCCGACCGGGGCCAGCGTATCGTGTGTCGTAGGCGTCGCTCATAGCGGATGAGGATGCCGCGTAAGTTCTAGCCGGAATAGTGGTGATGGACGATCTGTTGTTGTGAGATGCAAGGTAGAGGTGGTGCCTTGACTTTGCTGTTTGCCAGGTGCAGGTACAGCAGCCCACAGCGGAGACTTGTCTCGATTTAGTTGGCGGCTGATTGCTGCGGTGCACCACTGAAGCGCAAAGTAAGGGAAGAAAGTCTAGATGTTGTTTGAAACAGAGAGTGAACAACAATATATCATATAAAATGAGATATTGGTCAACGAAGAAAATCATGAAACTATTTTGTAAACTTGCATGTGTGATGTTGTGTGTTTGACTCTCTCATGAGGCTCTACGTGTTTGGTCAAGTTACAACTTGGTGGCGTTAGACTAATCAGCACCGAGGGGAATGAGATCAAGTTAAGCGGCTCTGGGCGAAAATTAGGACACTTGCTAAAGCTATTTTAGATGCATTACATCTTCAACGCCAATTGCTACTCTGTGCTTACACTCAATTAGCACTCTCTGGATATGACTATTTCTTACAATCACTCCGTCCTAGTCAATCAACATCACGTCATCATCGCGAAACGATGAAGACTTGCTCTTCTCTCGACTCTCGTTGGTACCTAGGTCTCTACTGATGTTCGACAGTGAGAGACACTGGAGACTAGAGACACCATGGTTCGATGCGGCCAGTGTATTGGCGGGCTTTACGGATTGAGTATGTGTAGTGATAATTCGGATAAAGGACATTGGCAGTCGCTGCTTTCTCACAGCGTTACATTATGTTTAAAGAGCTGATAAAGCACGCACCCTCTTTTATGCAAGTTTGTTGCAACTACTGTCGGGAGCAGTTTGAAGCTTTATGAAAGACAACATTTTCGAGCCACTTACCCAGCACCGGCGCCTGGCCGGTGGTTGCGGCCGACCGCGGGGTAATGGCGGGGCATTACCCCAACCCATCCCCCGTCCACAGCTCTTGCGCCGCTCCATGCTCAACCTTTTGTCCACGACACTTTGCGCGTACCGCACCAAAATGACAACCCCAGACGACGACGAGGACCCATGGCATCTCACCTCTCCCGGGTGCCACGTCGCCCTCACCCACTCGCCCCTCGATATTCCCTCCACCATGGCCCTCGTACGCAGTCCCTCTGCCGGCGCCATTGTCCTCTTCGCCGGTACCTTCCTCCCCCCCCTCCCCCTCTCCCCCCCTTTCAGCTTTTCCTCAACGCTCTCTCAAACATCCTTAACCCCCGCCGTCTTCTCCCTATAGGAACCACGCGAGACAACTTTGCCGGCAAACCCGTCAAGGAGCTGCAGTACACGTCGTACCGCCCCCGCGCGCTGCGGACCATGCTCGGCATCGCGACGGCCCTGCACGCCGAGCACGGCCTCGTCGGGCTCGCTCTGGTGCACCGCCTCGGCGTCGTGCCCGTCGGCGAGGAGAGCATCCTGATTGCCGCGTCGTCGCCGCACAGGCAGGCGGCGTGGCGCGCGGGCGAGGCGGCGCTCGAGGCGTGCAAGGAAAAGGTCGAGGTGTGGAAGCGCGAAGAGTTTGAGGGCGAAGAGGAGGGCGTGTGGCGCGCCAACAGAGACGGGGCGGTGGGTGAAAAAGTGGCGGAGTGAATTTTAGGGGGGGATTGGTTTCTGGGATAGTTATAGGGAGGGGATGAAATGAATTGTGATTTTGAGTGTATAGCGGGAAAACTGAGGGTCACGACTTTCCAATGCCTGATGGAACACATTGCCGGCATGGATAGCATGGCAAGGGAACTGGTCACAAGGATCTACAAGCAATATTTGATGAGAAAAATCTTTCAAAATTGCGTGTGTAAGAATACACCTTTATATCCAAAACAAACTACAAAAATCATCCCTACGCCTTCATGCTCTCGTCAAGTCAAAAATCCAACAACCGCCGCTTGTGCACCAATACCATGCTCTCTCCTTGCACCCCTTCTCCGGCTCTCACAGCCGTCCTTTCTATTTCTTACTTCCCTTCTCTGCACTTCCCTCTGCCTTCTCCTCATTCCGCTGCCCTTTGTGTGTACTTGGTTTCTCATTTTTGGTACACGGGCGGTGGTTCCTGAAGGTATTGCAACGGGCACGGCGGCGGATGGCACTCGCTGCCGCATCTCCCAAACATGACTTATTTTCAATCTGTCAGCACACAGCACATCTCTCCAACAGAAAAGGAGGTCCTTTATCCACCAAAAGAAGAAGGGATCCCACGTACTTATATGTTTCGAGTAGGCGTCTGTAAAGGTGACGTCAACGCCCAGCCCTTGGACGTCAATATCCTCTGTCAGGGCCGAGGGGTAGACGACGATGCCGTATTCGACGTGTAGTACGCGCCAAAATTCGGCGGGCAGCCTATTGCGTACAGAGTATTAGCATTGTGCGTCTTTTTTTTTTTTTTTTTTTTTTTTCCGATTCGTGTTCCTCTTTTCATCTGTCTCTTCCACCCTTCTTTCTTTTTTTTTTCCTTTTTTTTTTTTCCTTCTTCTTTCTCTTCTTCTTCTTCCTTCTAAAACATACCTGTACTGCCCTCTCTTGATGCAAGCATGCACAAACAAGCACAGCGTCTCCAGAACCAGCTTCCCGTCCTCGACCGCCTTGTCGAGCTGCGCATCGTCGAGCTCGTATACGCGCCGCAACCTCTCCTTGGAATAAAACATGGCAATGGACCATCCCTTGGAAATCTTGTCCAGGTCGTCGCGGTCGCAGCAGCATTCGTCCATTGTCGTCGGGTGCTTTCTTGTTCTCCCTTTTTCCTTTCCTCTTGTCGTTGAGCAGCGATTTGTGCACAAGCTGAAGAGAAACAAAAGAGGAAAATACAGAAACTCGAATCAAGAAAAGAAATGCACCTTGTTGTCCTGAGCCTCTTTAACAGAAATGGCAAAATGGCCAACAGGGTTCCCTTCAAGATGCCCGTGTCGACTTATGCATGGCGCGCGTCCCGCACTCGGTAATTCAGGGCCATCAGGGTGCCTAACTGGGCACGTCATCCGCTATTGTACAGTTGCATCTGGGGCGAGTAAATATGGCGTCTGTAGTACAATGTAATAATAGTAATATCAAGTAAAGCTCTCGGGCGACAATGGCGTGTGCGAATATAGTGTTATAATAATAATATAAAGTATCGGATAATGGTATAAGTACATCGGCCGTATTCTAATACTCTATGCATAATGCAACCTCCTCATGCTCTCATAACGAAACCCACTTGCCATCTCAATTCTATAAAGGTCCCGACAATCGCTTGCTGCCATGACTTGGTGCCTCTTTTCAAGTGCTCCCATGTGTACATTCTTTCTATTTACAGTAGTTTTGTGAAACTTGTCACAAGCTCATTTATTTACAGAGCAGCGACAGCGGCGACGACGAGTGCCATGGCGGCGGCGGCGGCCGAGGGCGCGCGGGCAATGCCAGCAGCGTTGTCCTTGTTCGTGCCTGTGTCGGCGCCTGTGTCATCGGGAGGAGCTGAAATCATAGTTAGTGGTGGTTGTAGGGTGATATGGACAACAAAGGACTCACCATCCATGCCCTTGATGCTAGGAATTTTACTGTTGGCTTTGAGCGCGACAACGTTGGTCTCGTTAGATTTGGGGTAGGCTTGGGCGAGACCAACCTCTTGGCCGGCCAAGTCGTAAACGACATAGGCCGAGCGCAAAAAGGTGTCACCGAGAAGAGCGAACTCGGGTTCGTTGGAGGAGCTACTCCCAGAGCCAAAGGGGTCGGGCTCCTGAGACTTGTAGTCATCAGCACTGGCAATGCCGAACATACAGACCTTGTCCATGTTTCTAAAGGTACTTCTCAAGGATGAACTCTTGAAAAGGTCCTGGTTATCCTCGAACGAGTTGATGATCATCTCCTTGAAAGGGACCTCGATAGTCTTGCCCTTGAACTGAAATTTAAACTTAATCTTGGAACCTTTGGCAGCGCCGCAGTCGATGAAAGGCGTGGCGACGCCGGGGATGGTAACGATGCGGAGTGTTTCGAATATGGGCTTGACCACGCGACCGGGGAGCAAGATCAGGGTGGCACCCGTGTCGAGGATGGCCTTGGTCTTGAGAGTAGGCGTGGAGACGCCGTCGACAGTGAAGCTGCCGAGCTCGACGGCGTACGAGGTGACGTTTTCGGAGCCGTGAATGTCGTCGGCGACGAGAGGAAGGGTAGCGAGGTCTCCAATGTACTTTTTGGTGTCGATGCCACCAAAGAGGAAGCTACCGTGGGTCTCGGTGATGGCGTCGAGGTAGAGGCTGAAGGCCGGGGTATCGATGAGGCCCTGGGAGACGAGGTTTTCGACGATGGTAGGGTACTTCTTCTTGGCGGCGACTGCGATACTCATGCCGAGACCCATGAGACCGCTGACGCTACTACTAGTCCTGGCGAGTCCGAGCTGCTGGTTCTTGATGCTGATGCTGTCGCTGACGGCGACGGTATCGTTGAAGTAGTCGCCAGAGGCAGTGCTGCCATCGAGGTAGGCAATTTTAAATCCGTTTCTGATGGTTGTCTTGTAGGTGGAGCTGGCAGTAGGGTCGACTGGATGGTGTTAGCTATCGAGGTCACTGGCTACCGAGGGAAGAGAGCTTTGGCAAAGTCGATGGAGAAAACCGGGTTGGATGATACACACATTGCTTGAGGCAGCGGGGAGGAATGCCTTTTTGGGGTATGCCATTTCTGCAGAAATCGTTGCCTTGGAGGTTTACCCAAGTATCGCTAGAGCCAGTGTCGAGATGAAACGTCAGGACCTGCGGGGGGGTGCCAATGCCCAGGTCGGCAAAATAGCCAGCGCCGGTAACGTTGTTGAGGGCCTTGAGGTCAATGATGGGGTCGCCTGAGCGTTTGTGAATTTTAAGAACATCGTAGAGGTCGGCGGAAAGCTGCTTGTGGACGTCGACACTGACGGTGCCGGCTGCAGCGAGGCCCACGAGGGCAGAGAGGGCAAGGAGGTCGCGCATGATGGAGCGTCTGCAGCAGATGGCGCCGTGTGTTGATTGTAGAGGGACGGCGGCGTCTAGCTGAGCGCGAAAGGGGGATAATGATGGTATATAAACATAGGAATGGTAAAGGATAAGGAAACCAAGAGGAAAGGGCAAACGGGCAGGCTTGTGGCGCGTATTTAGGCACAGTGAGTAATGTATTGGGTATCTGGGCTGAGAAAGGGTACTACAAGCTCTACAAGGAGCTTCATCTTGGATCCACAAGCGGGCATTTACAGGGGGTTGCAAAGGCAGCTTTGAGTCTTTTGCCTGGCTGCCTGGATGAGGCTTGCCCAAAGAACACACACGAATTCGCCTGTCACTACGGAGTAATTTTTCCCACAATTCCATTATGGCTTGCTAGTCCATCCGTCGAGTGGATAAACGGCGTCGCTGCCGAGACGCTAACCGCTGGCTAACGTTGAACTAATGTCCAGCTTTTGCTGCCTTTTGCTGCCTTTTGTGGTTGATGGTCTGGTGGCTGTGCTTGCTTGGCGACTGACGACTTGCTGCTTTTGCTCGAGATGGGCGGTGGCGAGTCATCTGGGGGGCTGCCTTGCATCGCCCCAGATACCACCTCCAAATCACTCTAGAAGAAAAGCCATCAGCTTCGCCCGCTTCGCTACGATTCCCGTCGCAGGTCTTCGGCGCTTGGCAATGCCGACGTTGTGTGTGTGACGTGGGCGAGGGTGCCCGCCAAGCCCCCGCCCCGGAACTTGGGTGAATGGGGGAAAATGGCCCGCCAGCATGCTACAAGGCGCCAAAGCTGTAATGGTTTGACACCCACTGTGGCACGGGCCACGGGGCCTTATTGGTATACCCGATGGGACGCAGGCCCTGTACGAAGCAGCTCACCAATAATCCAATGACAGCGGATATAATAAGGAACAGTTAAGATGTCGGGGAAGTCAATAAAAAAAAAGGGAAGCAACAAGCCATCTTCAAATCTGAAAGAAGAAGAAAAAAAAAAAAAAAAAAAAAA